AAAAAAAAAAAAAAAAAAGAATCTGAATTTGGGATGAGAAATCTTAGATCTGCAGTATATACATAGTAGCTGTGTGATCATGGCCAAGTCAACAGATCTCAGCCTTCACACCCATAAAATGGGGGTAACACCCCTCTATTTTATAAGATTGCTTTATGATGAAGGAAGGGGTATGACAAAGCTTCGTAATTGTAATTCTCCTTAAGGATTTTAAATTATTATTACTTGAGCCTGGTTAACAGTTTGTGTTTTTGTTTTATGACCATGGAAACCATTCAGAGTAAAAGAGGTGAACTCAAATTTTACCTTACTCAAAAGTTGGTTAAAAGGAGTACTGCATTGTCAGTGAATTTTGATCCTGAAAAATGCTACTTTTTATATCTTCCATAACAAATAATTAAGAGGTATCTGCAATTAGACTTAATAGAAGTTATCCTCATTTTTCGGTCTTCAGTATTACAATTACATGCGTGTGCATGCACATGTGTATGTGCGCACGTGTAATCACAAAGGGCCAATCGTTGTTCCTGATACATTACTGACTAGAACATCTTCACTCCAAAGGCAGAGGAGAAGTGGTGACATGTGATAGCACATTCTCAGAGACAATTCCTAGCAATGATCTTGACACTTAAGTATCTATCAGCAATGTGACAGAGGTAGCACAGAACCTGGATGCAGACAGCTGTAGCCAAACAAACACTTTAACAATGGGAATGGCCTGACTATCTTTCAGACAAATAAAACTTCTTAATTATGATCTTGAAATGCATTCAGAAAAGTAATCACTATAAGGGAAACGGCACCCATTTTATGCTCCTTATGTTACGTATAACTTATAGCAATCTGATAGATAAAATTTTACACTACTTTCTTTTTTTTTTTTTAAAGTTTTATTTATTTATTTTTGAGAGACAGCATGAGCAGGGGAGGGGCAGAGAGAGAGGGGGAGAGAGAATACCAAGCAGGCTCTACACTGTCAGCGCAGAGTCCGATGTGGAGCTTGAACTCACAAACTGCAAGATCATGACCTGAGCCAACATCAACAGTCTGAAGCTTAACCAACTGAGCCATCCAGGTGCCCCTATGCTACTTTTTATGTCAAACAACTAGTTACTTAATAGACATATGGTAAACTGGAAAGGGCACTGAATTAGAAAAATTAAGACAAATTGAGTCAAGACTCTGTCAGTTATTAATTTTGATATTTGGGGGCACACTGATTAATTTCTCTGAGGGTCAACTTTCATATCTGTAAAGCAGAATCATAACAGGTCACAGAATTGCCATGGGAATTAGAGAAAACATATGTGGA